CTGGTTACAAGTTGGTCTCCAGGAAGGCCTAGGGTGAAACCACCACAAGTGGTCAGGACATGTGGAAGCAGGGGAATTTTTCTTCCCAGCTGGGATTGAGAGTGCAATTTCACACTCCTTTGGAGAGCATTGACGAAGACATCCCATTTCTGCCCAGGGATCTTCCAGGGGGAACTCAATCCGGGCTCTGGGCAGGTCCCTGCAGGGGCAGCAGCTTCCTCTGCACATTTGAGGGGATAAAACTGTTCTAAACCTGCACTCCAACTACTCCACAGCAATTGATGACCTCTGAGGACAGTTCCTCACTCCAGTTCCACCCCAGCAGAGACCTGAACACATCCTATGGGCACTGTGTGACCACCTCTGGCATTAACACCCTGCAGAGATGAAGACACTGACTGTAAAGACACTTGTCTACCTGTAAACCTCAACTTTCTTTGCTACTACACAGCAATAACATTTTCTATTCATATTGCAGCTACGGACTTAATAAATAGAATTGCATATATTGTGCTTTAGAAATTAAAATGCATTCCAAAGTCAGGCAATGCTAAACAATGAAAGTCTCGAACCCTCCCCCCAAAACCAGCCCCACTTTCTGGTTTCAGAACCAGCCCACTTCTTCACTCTCTTCACAAAGGGAGAAACTCTCTCTTTCCACCTCTGAAACAAAATTTCCCTCCCCAAAAGTGATCAGAAAGAGTCTACTTAGGCACTACTGCAAATTGAAGTTGTCTAATAAGCATTCCTTCTAACTCAGGAAGGGGAGGAGATGAAGGAAGTCACAACAAATGTTTGGATTCCTTCCTCTTCAACGTCTTCTCTTCCCTATCTGATGCTCTGGGACGTGTGCAGGGGGTTCAGCATCTCTTCAAAGATGGTTCCTTTTACATCAGAGCCCCTCAAATTGGCTTCCTGGAGGTCACAACCTGATAGGTCCCAATTGGGAAGGGGAAAAGAAAAAGAAGTGTCAATGGAATGCACCCAGAACTCTGTTCAAAGCTTTACTGGAAGTCCATTTACCTGAACTCCATTGTACTCTGAAGCTGGAGAGATCAGCCAAAAGCCAGCAATCCCCCAAATTACCAACTGACCATAAGATAGAAATTAATAGGATGGAAAATTAATCCTAACTCACTTCCAAATCAGTTCCTGCCAACGTTGCTCCCCTGAGGTTACAGTTCTTTAGTTTGGGGTTTCTCAGCGTTGCAACTCGGAGGTTCATTCCTGTCATCTGACTGCCCTCCATGGCCACTCCTTTCAGGTTGGCACCTGGAATACACACAGAAAGGAGTTCTGTGAGGAAAAACGGTCAGTAACACAGCAGCTGCACACTGGGGCTGCCTCAGAGCTGTGTGAATTGGAGGAGGACAAGGGGATTTCGGGCTGAGATGGTCACAGACTCAGGGCAGCCCTTGTGGGCCCTTCTCAGGGTTGGACAAACCACAGCTGGACCTTCTCTGGGCCATAGAAATGCACAAACACAGACTTCAGTTGGCACAGATTGACAAGGCAAAAGCTTCTTACCTTCCAGATTAGCTTGAAGGCCTGATGGCTCCTCAGAGTTGCAGCCTTTCAGGGACGCTCCCTCTGCGTTGGAGCGCAGCATCTTCACCCCTGGCAGGTTGGCACCCTGGCACAGACAGGAGTCACTGAGAGCCAGAAGAACAACACCAAAGACAATCAAGAAGACACTTTTAATTTCTGCTTTGGGAGTCAATCCCATTAAATCATTACTGGGAGGAAGTGTAAAAGCTTTGGGAACCAGAACAACTCTAGAATATATTTAAGAACTCGATGTTTTACACCCCTCTGTTTGTTCCAGCTCCTCTCTGTTAAGACAAGCCCAGCCCTCCCAAGCTGCAGCAGCTCTTCCATCCAGCACAGAGCCTGACAGGTCAGCCCTCTCCAGGCTGGCACAGCACAGGTTGGCACGGGCCAGGTTGCAGCGGCTAAGATTGGCCACCTTGAAGTTGATGTAGCAAAGATCCAGGTGGGAAAGATCCGCTCCACTGAAATTGAGACCCTGGAAATCCCAAGGAATAAACCCCCCAAAAAGGTTACAGAGGGGAAGGGGTAGGTCTGGACACAAAGTTAACATCATTGTGTAGATAGGTGTGCATTAATATTTACAGTGTATAAATATCTAGGTATAAACATATGGATAGAAATGTATTAAAATATATCCTGTCTATAAATATACACGGATACAAGATAGATACAGACACACACAGGTCCTGGGAGGAGCTGAAGATACCCCACCAGGGAAGGGGGCTATAAAAAGGAGGGAGAGGGACTTTTGATATGGGCCTGGAGGGACAGGACAAGGGGCAATGGTTTTTAGACTGAAAGAGGGCAGGGTTAGATGGGAGACTGGGAAGAAATCCTTCCCTGGGAGGGTGGGGAGGGGCAGGGATGGAATTCCCAGAGAAGCTGTGGCTGCCTCTGGATCCCTGCAACTGTCCAAGGACAGCTTGGATCAACCTGCTCTAGTGGAAGGTGTCCCTGCCCATGGCAGGGGGTGGAATGAGAAGACCTTTAAGGTCCCTTCCAACCCAAACCATTCCATGATTCTATACAGACAAATACACACAAGACCATTTATTCTACTACTTCAGACTAATGAAATCTAAATGCAAAGCTCTCAAAAATTGGCCTTGGTTCATTTTACATTTACACAAATTGCTCCTCCAGGAAAACTTCTCTCTAAAGCAGGAATGCAGCCCAAACCACCCTGGAATTCCAAGCCAAGGTCACTGTGCCACAGCTCAGAATCCAAACTCAGTTCAAGAGTTTGCATTTCACGTTGCCACATTCCAGCACCAGACTCCAACACTCCAGAGAGGGACAGCACAAGAGGTAGTGGTTTTAACATAAAAGAGGGAGGTTTAGATGAGATGTCGGGAAGAAATTCCTAGAATTTTGTCAGAAAGAGAAATGTGTTCTCACCTGGAAAAGCTTGTTTGTAGCTGAAAGGAAAAAATCATACAGCCAGGATGTTTGCAACACCAGTATTGGGTTAAAGGTATCAGTTCCAGAATTCCCGCCAAACATAAATCCAGGATGGACAACTTTCAATGCTCCCAAGATAAACAAAGAGCCTGTCTTCATTAAGTCAAGCAATACCTTCATTAAATCAAGCAATACCTTCTCAAGCAACACCTTCATTAAATCAAGCAACGTGGAGTTGCAATGCTGTAAGGGGGGTCCTTTTGAATTAGATGATCAATGTTGCATAGAGGCATGAGAAAGAAATTATATTAGGATGTGAAACCAGCCAGAGTATTGTACAATGTAACTTTATGGCACAAGTGAACTGAAAGATCCATTGTGTTTTTTAGCAAGTCAACGAGATGTCCCCCATTATCAGAGCTGAGTTCCTCCTTGGCTTGGCTCCCTACTGCAAGATGGACACAAATACCCTTGAAACACAGTGGGAGAGGTCGTCCATAGGGGTGAGAAAGATGCTGGTGAGAGGCAGATTCTGTGGGCAGGGGTCACTGGCCCCTTGCCCTACAGCAGGGCAGGCACAGACTGTTGCTCTCAGGTGATGAACAGACGGGGTTTGGCTGCCACTCAGGCATCACCTTATACTGGGTACTGGCCCTACGTGGTGTAATGTGGAGCTGATAAAATGGGGTGTCAGGACTGCTGGGGTGAGCGATCCTCATCCTGCCATGGAGACTGTGTTGCTCCGTGGGGATGCCCGCTAAACATGGGCACCGACCAGCTGCTGCAGATCCTGGCAGCCCTGGCCTGTCTGTGGGGGTAAGCACAGTTTATTGAGAGGAAGCAACCGAGAAAGCCAATGTTTTATATCCTTTTTTTGATATCTCTTTAATTCCAAGGATGTCCGATGATGAGACAGCCCAAACCGATGAGCCAGCCCCAAACCAGAACTGTGATTGCGACGAAAAGGGCCAGGAATCCAAACCGAGATGCTGTTGGTGCTGATCTTCAACAACAGACGACAGCCTCGAAATAAACATGGACTATATGTATATATGTATATATGTATATGCGCGGGATAGAAATGAACACAACATACAGGTGTTATGTAAAGAAATAGTATGGAATAAGGGGTGGAGAATGTGATGGTTTCACTCTAGGCCTTCCTGGAGACCAGCTTGTAACCAGAAAGGAACTGGGGTAATGACTTAGGAAGCATTCCATGCTATTTCTTTCCGTAACACAACATATAAAAAGGTGCAGATAAGAGAGTTCACTCTTCTTCTCTCTTCCGGTGGCTGAAGGCGACAGGTCTCTCCGTAGACAGGCTTTGCTTATATAGACCAGGGCCTGCTACTCAGACCTGCCGTTATCTCCGGTCTCTCCGGGAGGCGTGGGGGAGTTGGCTGCTGCCTTGCACAGTTCTGCTGTCCCGATCAGGGAAGTATTTAATTTGTTTTATATTTATTGACTAGCTCTCTATTAACGGGTATATTGAGGAGATATTTGGTTTTAGGCTTCTTTTTATCCCTGTTTCCCCTTCCCTTTCTTCCCCCCCCGGGAGCTCCCTGTTATGGATAATATATTCAAATTGTATATATATATATTTGTAAATATATTTTTTTTTAAAGAACCCCGTTTTACTCAAACTTCTTTCAGTTTTTTTTCCCGTGGTTCTTTTTTTCTTCCCTCTCTGAGAAGCAGGCCTTGTTGTCAAGTTTTGGAGACTTGGTGGGAAGCCAGCTCGAAACTTGCACAACACTGAAACTACCAGGAGTACAAGATAAGATAGGTCAGTGCTCTACACTAAAGCAATTGTTAAAACAATTCTACTAAAGCTGCCAGAAAAGCAATAATTCTAAATTAGAGATGGATGGAACTGCCCCAGACCAATGCTCATATCTCTGCTCTCAACCTCCAGCAGTGACCTGGGGGGGTCCCCAGCCAAGGTAGGAATCTCCACACACCCCCCAGGAAGGGTTCTGTTGGAAGAAGTTGCCCCTGGGAAAGGGGACTGGCCCTTTCTGGTCAAAAGGGATGGACTGACAGTCACTGGACTCCAGGGGTTGCCTCACCAACAAAGGCTTCATTCGGGGTGGAAGCAGTGGCCAAAGCTCTTCCCGCAGTTGAGGCACTCACAGGGCTTCCCTTACCGGTGGGTCTGTTGGTGTCTGGTCAAGCCAGAGCTCCTGGGGAAGCTCTTCCCACACTCCCCACACTTGTAGGGTCTCTCCCTGTGTGGATGCACCAGTGGGTGACGAGGTTGCCGTTCCAGTTGAACCCCTTCCTGCAGCCAGTGCAGCGGAAGGACCTCTCATCCATGTGTGTCCGCTGGTGCAGGAGGACACTGGAGCTGGTCTTAAACCTCTTCCTACATTCCAAGCACTTGTAGGGCTGTTCCCCAGTGTGGATGGGCTGGTGGGTGCGGAAGTTGGAGCTGAGCCGGAAGCTCTTCCCACATTCCCTACACAGGTAGGACCGTTCCCCTGTGTGGATGTGCTGGTGTCGAATCAGGCTGGAGTTCTGCCTGAAGCTTTTCCCACATTCCCAACAAGTGTAGGGCTGCTCAGGGACCACCACGTCAGAGCTCCACCTCAAGCTCCGGCCACCTTCCCGGCAAAGGTTGGGTCTTTCCTCCTCAGAGCACCCTGGGCTGGCTTTGGAGTCCCTCCTGCTGGGGGATCTCCGGCCCTTTTCCTCCCCGCTGTCTTCCTGCGCCGTGGAGCCCTTCAAAACGGCCTCTCCCACCAGGGTCTCAGGGGGGGATTTGTCCTCCGGGCTCTCCGTCCTCAGCTCGGGGCCTGGGGCAGAAAGCAAGAAGGACAGGGAGGGGATTTGCCTCTGGCCCACAGGGAAGGACAAGGACATCCCCCCAACTCCGGCCCCGGCAGGACGGCGGCGGTAGAGGGGTTGTCCTGCAGCCAGGGCCATGCTCGGTTGACAGAGCCAGCACAACATCCACCCAAAGGGCCACTGACTTCCTCCTCACCTGCCTGGGGGGCCCAAGGCATCTTCCTCTTCCTCGCAGCCTCCTCCTCCATCCGCCCAAGCTTTGGGAAGGAGAAATCCTGATGTGGGGGAAACAAGGGGTGAGTACGTTGGTTTGGGGGTTCCTCCTTCCCAAGTCCATCTCTAGAACTCACTGGGCATCCTGTGACCATAAAAACCTCCAAAACACCAAGATTCAGCCCAGAAAAACCCAAGTCAAGGAGATTCAGTCAAAAACCCCTCAGAAATAGCGAGAGGAATGTTCTAAAACTGCAAAAAGTTAGGATTCAGCAAAAAAAACCTCCAAAATATGAAGATTCGGCCCAAAAAATGGTGTTTAATTGGGAGGATGAGGGAAGTGAGGTCACTTCATGAGAACCTGATTGAGTTGCTATAGATTAATTAAAAGCTTTAATAATGTAGTATCACTTAAAACTCTCCAGGGCTGTTACTCGAGGT